TTGTTGTTGTTTTTGTTGCTGTTTTTTGTTGCTGTCGTTGTTGTCGTTGTTGTTGTTGATGTTGCTTTCGATTGTCAGGCCCTTGTGGAGGCTTAGAGATGGGTGGACTTTTTTTTTGGCTTCGTGGCGGTCTTGCGGGGGCTTGGAATGGTAGCTGTAAAAAAAAAAAGTCTTCATTAATAGGGTCTCAGGTAGAGCGTCGACGATGATTTTATTTGTTATTAGTTTATTATTTATTATTTATTTATTTATTTATTTATTTATTTTATTTATTATTTATTTTATTGATTTATCATTTATTTATTTTTATTTATTTTTATAGTTTATTAGTTATTTGTTAGTCTCTCTCGCCACAGACTAGTCTATCAACAGGAAGTCGGTTTTAAAAGGAAGGTCAGAAAAACAGGGAGAGAGAGAGAGGAGAGAGAGAGAGAGAGAGAGAGAGAGAGAGAGAGAGAGAGAGAGAGAGAGAGAGAGGAGAGAGAGAGAGGAGAGAGGAGAGAGAGAGGGGGGGGGATTGGGGGGCGGAGGGTGTTTGGGGGTGATGATGGGGGGGGGGGTGAGGGCATTGTTTCGAATACAAGGACTGTTCTTTTGTTTTGAATGCACGTGGCCTTATCAGCAGGCGCCCTTACCTTGAGATCTGAATATCCTGTGTCTTCCATATTAATGTGTTCGATTTTCCATATTAATGTGTTAATAATAAATAAATGTGTTAATAATAAATAAATGTGTTGATAATAATAATGTGTTAGATTCCATATTAATGTATTAGATTTTCCATATTAATGTGTTAATTAATAATAATAATGTGTTAATAATAATAATGTGTTAATAATAAATAAATGTGTTAATAATGAATAAATGTGTTAATAATAATAATGTGTAATAATGAATAAATGTGTTAATAATAATAATGTGTTATAATAAATAAATGTGTTAATAATGATAATGTGTCAGATTCCATATTAATGTGTTCGATTTTCCGGAAGAATAGTCGGCCGTTGTGGGCAAACCGTCAATTCCTTTGAGGTCTTCGGCAGGGAGAGGTACTGTTAAATGGCCGTCGCTATTGTCAGGGCGTAATTCGGTCCGCCGCAGAGCTACCTTCCCCGTTCCGAGCCTCGTCCACCGGCGGCCGTAAAGCGTGAGAAGTGTTCCGTTTGTGTGAATCGCGTCGGGGGGTGGGTGGGGGGAGAGGGAGGGAGGGAGAGAGGGAGAGGGAGAGGGAGAGGGAGAGGGAGGGAGGAGGGAGAGGGGGAGAGGGAGAGGGAGAGGGAGAGGGATTCGATTCGATTTTGAATGTCGGCTAATGTATTTTTCCTTTTTTTCTCTCGATTTTTTCTCTCTTTCTCTCTCTCTCTCTCTCTCTCTCTCTCTTCTCTCTCTCTCTCTCTCTCTCTCTCTCCTCTTCTCTCTCTCTCTCTCTCTCTCTCTCTCTCTCTCTCTCTCTCTCTCTCTCTCTCTCTCTCTCTCTCTCTCTCTCTCTCTCTCTCTCACCCCTTCCCCCTCCCTCTCCCCTCCCCCTCTCCCTTCTCCCCTCCCCCTCCCCTTCCCTCTCCCTCTCCCCCTCTCCCTCTCCCTCTCCCTCTCCCTCTCCCTCTCCTCCTCCCCTCTCCCTCTCACCCCTTCCCTCTCACCCCCTTCCCCTCACCCCCTTCCCTCTCACCCCCTTCCCTCTCACCCTCCCCCCTCTCTCTCCCTCCCTCCTCTCTATCCCTCCCCCAGTGTCTCCCTCCCCCAGCGCCGTGCCCCCCGCGCCCTGAGAGACTCCACGACTCCCCTCTCCGTGTAAATCACTCGGGAAAGAGCAAGAGCAGGCCGCCCGTGATCGCTTAGCCATAGTCCAGACCCGGGCGGACGTCGCGACCGCCGAGAAAATATGTACCAACTTAATTGAAGCCAATTACGGCCACGGTCCTGGCCTGCTGTTGCTGCCGTGCTGCTGCTGCTGCTGCTGCTGCTGCATGATTCCAGTCTTTATAGCTGTTTTTTTTTTTCGCGTTTAATGATTCTGGCGCCTGAGGGAGGGAGGGAGGGAGGGGCTTGTGGGAAGGTGGCTTGGAATAGAGCGTGTGTGATTTTCTGGTTTTGGGGTTGTGTCTCTCTTTTTCATTCCGAGGCGCGAAGAAGGGCGGGGTGTGGGCGGGTGGGGGGCGTGGGGGCGTGGCGGTGTTTCGGTCTTCGTGTGGGCGGGTGTGGGCGGCTGCGGGCGTGGGGGCGTGGCGACGGCTGGCGGTCTTCGTGTACGGGCGGGGTGTGGGCGGCTGCGGGCGTGGGCGCGGGCGACGGCTGGTGTTTCGGTCTTCGTGTACGGGCGGGTGTGGGGCGGCTGCGGGCGTGGGGGCGCGGCGACGGCTGGTGTTTCGGTCTTCGTGTACGGGCGGCGAGGATTCCTGGTTCGGGCGTGCATGTGCAACCGGGCTGGATGCGAGGCGTGCAGGGGCTGCCTCGTCGCAGATGACCGGAAATCTACCCACCGCACACCCCCGCCAGGCATTCCTCGCGCGAATCCTCCGCTGCCCCCCCCTCCTCTTTTTCCTCCTGCGTCTGTTTCGCTTCTCTTCTTCGTTCTCTTCCCTCGTTTCCTCCTATTCCTTTCCTCCCTCGTTCTTTTTTATTCTTTCTCCTCCTCTTCTTTTTCCTCCCACTCCTTCTCCCTTTTTTTCTTCTTCATCCCCCTCCCCTTCCGCCTTCTCCTCTTTCTCATCCTCGTCCTCGTCCTTTTCCTCCTCATCCTTCTTTACCTCCTCCACCTTCTTTTCCTCCTCCTTCACCTCTTCTTTCTCCTTTTCCTCCACCGCATCGTCGTCGTCCTCCTTTCCCTGCTCCTCCTCCTCAGCCACCACCACCTCCATCCTTTCTTTTTTCCTTCCCTTCTTTCCTTCGCCCCCCCCCAGTCCCCCCGTCCCGCTCCTACCCCCTCGTATCATCTCACCTCCCCCCTCCCCCACCCCCCCACCCGTTCCCCTCCTCTTCTACGTCCTCTCTCTCTCATTCTTGACGCTTTTTATCAAGTGCACAGGAGTTCGTGATGAATGTCCACCAATTTGCTTTTTTTAGAGGTGTTTGAGTGGTTGGCCTTGGGTGGTTGTGGGGGAGGGAGGGAGGAGGGAGGAGGGAGGGAGGGAGGGAGGGAGGAGGGAGGGAGGGAGGAGGGAGGGAGGATGGAGAAGGGGAGAGGGAGGAAAGGTGGGAAAAGAAGGGGAGAGGGAGGGAGGGAGGATGGATGGAGAAGTGGAGAGGGAGGAAAGGTGGAAAAAGAAGGGAGAGGGAGGGAGGGAGGAAGAAAAGGGAACTGGAGATGGAGGGAGTGAGGGAGGAGGAGAGGGAAGGGAGGGAGCGAGGAGGGAGGAAAGAGAAAGAAAGAGAAGAAGGGTAGGAGGGCGAGAGGCGAATCTCCCTCAAGTCCAGCGACCCAGCACAGGCGGCGCGTCGGCATCGCGGCTGAGTGCAGTAATCACGGGAAGTCGTTAGGCGGCGTCGGAGGGACCTGGAGTGCCGGCGGAGGGAGGGAGGAGGGAGTGCCGACGGAGGGAGGACCTGGAGTGCCGGCGGAGGGAGGGAGGAGGGACCTGGAGTGCCGGCGGAGGGAGGGAGGAGGGATCTGGAGTGCCGACGGAGGGAGGGAGGAGGGACCTGGAGTGCCGACGGAGGGAGGAGGAGGGGGGGGGTGTCCTTCGTCGAGCCAGTGCCCCCTTCGGCCTCGCTCGGTGCCGGGTATCCTTACTCTCTGCGGAGGATTCCTGCAATCCTGAAATCTCTCAAGGGCACGTAGGGAGGGACCTCAGCGAGAGACCTCAGGGAGAGACCTCAGGGAGGGACCCCAGGGAGGGACCCAGGGAGGGACCCCAGGGAGGGGGGGGATAGAGGGACGGGGTGAAGGGAGGAGAAAGGGGAGAAGAGGGGGGTTGATGTTCTCAGTGTCACATGGATCAGAGTAGGATTAGAAACGGGGGCTAGATCTATATATATATATTTGTTTATGCAAGAATATCTTCGTATTATAGAGAATGTCTTCCTGTTCTCCCAACCGCTGTGGATGCGCGGTGGAGGGAGGAGGGAGGAGGAGGAGGGAGGAGCGAAGGGAGGAGGGGAGTAGGGTGGAAGAGAGGAGGAGGGTCGAAGGGGATGGGGTGAAGGGGGGGGGGGTAGTTGCTTCATGCGGCGTGAAGGTGGGAGGAAAACCCGAATTTATTATAATGAGCATATCTTTTACAACAACCCGTTTTTAATACGAGGTGCTTTACTTCACATTTTACACCCGGGAACGAAGAAGAAAAATATGTTGCGATGTCCAGAGGAAGAGGAGGAGAGAGAGAGAGAGAGAGAGAGAGAGAGAGAGAGAGAGAGATGAGAGAGAGAGAGAGAGAGAGAGAGAGAGAGAGAGAGAGAGAGGAGAGAGAGAGAGAGAGAGAGAGAGAGAGGGAGGGAGGGAGGGAGAGAGGTGTCAGGGAGGGAAGGAGGGAGGGGGAAGGGAGTGGATGGGCAGAAATAAAGGGGAAGGGCAATGTAGTGTGAAAGAGGAGGCGGAAGACGGCGATGGTAAGAGCACTTATTTTTAGGATTCTGGAGGAAAAAGAGACGAAGGAGAAGGAGAAGGAGGAGGAGGAAATTTAGGAGGAGGAGGAGGAAATTTAGGATGAGGATGAGGAGGAAGAGAAGGAGCAGGAGGAGGAAGAGACGGTAAAGTAGAATCGATGGAAAAAATGTCTCAGAGATTTCCTGGAAATGCCAGAAGGTGCACGGGGGAAAGCGAAGGTGTCATAACCACGAGAGGAATTGCACAGCCTCTGCAAGCTCTGCAACTCGAGCAATTGATGACATGGGCGGTCGACGTGAACCGGAGGAGTAATGCGTTACCTCCTTGGAGAGCTAACAGGATGAGTGCTTTAAGAAAAACTAGAGAAAAACAATAGCGAAGAGGCAATTGAATAGTAACACATGTTTACAGTGATATATAACCAGGTTGCTGTAGGACTAGATAACCAGGTTGCCATTTAATTAGATAACCAGGTTGATATTTAATTAGGTAACCAGGTTGATATTTAATTAGATAACCAGGTTGGTATTTATCTAGATCACCAGGTTGCCACATTATTATATAACCGAGTTGCCATAGGGCTAGATAATCAGGTTGCCTTAAAACCAGGTAACCAGCTTGCCAAAGAACCAGGCATCCAGTTTGCCAAAGAACCAGGCATCCAGTTTGCCACTGAAACAAACAACCAACTTGTCACAGAAACAAACAACCAGCTTGCCACAGAAACAAACAACCAGCTTGCCACAGAAACAAACAACCAGCTTGCCACAGAAACAAACAACCAACTTGCCACAGAAACAAACAACCAGCTTGCCACAGAAACAAACAACCAGCTTGCCACAGGACAGAACCAAACAACCAGCTTGCCACAGAACCAAACAACCAGCTTGCCACAGAACTTGCCACAGAAACCAGACAACCAACATGCCACAGAAACAAACAACCAGCTTGCCACAGACCTAGATAACAAGATAGCCATACACCCAACCAAATGGACAGACAGACAGACATTCAGACAGAACCAGGGCCCTCGCCAGTCACACACACGGAGCCAGCAGCCGGGGGGGGGGTCAGACGGCCTCATATCTCGCGTGAAAGATTTAGATCGCTGTAGCCACATCTCCCGCTCTCTGGGGTCTGCGGGGGGGGGGGGTGATGGGGAAGGGGTTGTAGAAGGGGTGATGGAGAGGGTTGTGAATGGAGAAGGAGGGTGATGGAGGAGAGGGTGTGAGAAGATGAGAGAGGGTTGTGAATGGGGTTGTAGAAGGGGGTGATGAGAGAGGGCTTGTGAAGGGGTTGTAGAAGGGAGGTGATGGATGTGAATGGGGTAGAGGAGGTGATGGGAAGAGAGGGAGGGTGATGGAGAGAGGGTTGTGAAGGGGTTGTAGAAGGGAGGGTGCTGCTGTGATGTCACTTGGGGGCTTATGCTGATGTCATTGAGTGGGTTTATGCTGTGGTGGTATAAGGTTTCACTTGATGTGTTATATGTTGTGGAAGGGAGAGTGTTACTGATGCCATTTGGTGTGTTTATGCTGATGTCACTTGACGTGTTTATGCTGAAGTCACTTGGTATGCTTATGCTGATGTAACTTGGTATGTTTATGCTATGGAAAGGAGGATGTTACTGTTGTCACTTGGTATTTTTATGCTGATGCCTCTTAACATGTTTATGCTGGATGTTACTCAGCATGCTTATGCCGATGCCACTCGGTTTGTTTATGCTGATGTCATCTGCAAGGGAAAGTGTTCAAGAAGTTGTCTTACGTGGGATGAGAAAGTGTTACAGTCGGTTTCTTGTGACTCGGAAGTGAAGGCACAAGGAAGGGAAGAGAGGATTGGAAGTAGGTAGAGAGAGGAAGCAAATGAAATGGGGAATAAAGAGGTGGAGGAAAAAAATTGTAAGTAACGATGCGAGGAGATAGATTGATAGATGTAGAGAGGGTTAGATAGATCAGGAAAAGGGTGACAGGGATGAAAGAGTAAGAGAGAGAGAGACAGACAGACAGACAGACAGACAGACAGACAGACAGACAGACAGACAGACAGACAGACAGAGACTAAGGACTATAAATAAAGTATATTTATTGAGCAATAGGAAGGGAGAGGGAAAAAGAGAAGGGGAGAGAACTGGAGAGGAGAGTGAAATGTAAGACGAGAATGGAGAAAGATAGACAAAGGAAGTGGAGGGAATAAGTAACATATGAGATAGTGTATATACAGTGGATGGGGGAGAGAGGAGAGAGAAAGCAAGGAAAGAGGATAGAGAAAGAAAGGAGGAGAGGGAGGACAGGAGAAAAAAAAAAACAGGCAGGCAGGATACGCAGAGAAATGGAAAGGGACAGGTAAAAGGGTGAGGGAGAAAACGAGAGAGGGAGATAGAGAAGAGGCGGAAAGAAGGTGAGATGGAGAACAGAATGAGTGATAGAGAGGGAGAGACCGAAGAGAGATGAGATATAGGAGAGAGAGAGAGAGACAGGCAGACAGACAGACATAAAGGTGGGGGGAGAATGAATATTCGATAGAGAGGAGAAGAGAGTGAGAGCGTAAGTGAGAATATGAGTGTAACTAAGAGTGCGAGTGCGAGTGTGAGAGTGAGAATGAGAATGATAGTGCGAGCGTGTGAGTGATTGACAGCGTGTGGAGAGGGAGAGGGAGAGGGAGAGAGGGGGAGAGGGAGGGAGAGGAGAGGGAGGGGAGGGAGAGGGAGAGGAGAGGGAGAGGGAGAGGGAGGGAGAGGGAGAGGGAGGGAGAGGGAGAGGGAGAGGGAGAGGGAGAGGGAGGGAGAGGGAGGGGAGGGGAGAGGGAAAGAGGGAGGGAGGGGAGAGGGAGAGGGAGAGGAGAGAGGGAGAGGGAGAGGGAGAGGGAGAGGGAGAGGAGAGGGAGGGAGAGGGAGAGGGAGAGGGAGGGAGAGGGAGCGAGGGGAGAGGAGAGGAGAGGAGAGAGGGAGAGGGGAAGGG